TTACCCTAAACACTACTAATAATCATCATTGAATTATATACTCAACACATGACTCAATTATCAAATTTATTAAGACCTCGCTAGTTGATATTAACTAACTCATTTATTTATTTCATTGGATTTAGCTATAGACAAGGTTGTCCAACCCATGTCCCATTTGGAACATCAATAAAAGAAAAACCCCATGCCTCCATTTGGAAACATCAACAAACATCCAACGACCATGGGCGCGACTCCGTGACCGTAATTAGTATGAGATCTCACCTAACTCCTAGTTTTTAAAAAATAATATTTGAAATAGGAGACTCGTAGATCAAACGGCCTCGATAAAAGTACACGGCTAATACCCCGTGTACCCTAACCCCTGATTGTCATTACTCCAGAAGTGCACCAATCTAGAGTTTTATTGCTCATCCATCTTGCACTTTACGTGATTTACAAGTTTAGAATTGGTGATAACTCATACGCAAAACAATATAATCAATCAAATATTACATCATTCCAAGCAATCCAAAGTTCCAATTCAATTCTTGATTTATTAGTGGAAAACAATATTTAGTATTAAATCCTTTAATTACCTCGGTATATAAACACGTTAAGTGCACAGGGCACTTCAAATCCTGAACCTCGTCTTAAAAGACTTTAATGAACTTCCTCTACTCAAATCATAATTAATTCATGAAAGAGTATTAAAAATTAACCTCATGGAACCATTATCAAAATTAATTCCACTTATAGACAACAAAGAATCCATAACCTTTAATTAATCATAACATATCCAATTGATAAGACAATCACTTATAGCCATATACTTATATCTCAAACATGCCTCATACACAATATACGGAAATCACAATGTATAACCAAACAATTTAGCCAAGTCTTCTCTATACATGATACTAAGTTCTCGATACATCCCTAAACATGCATCTAAAGGCAAGGTTTCGTAACTCGTACGTACCTTGAATAAACGAATTGGTATGCCACTTTACTATCTAGAAATCACCTTCAATAAACTCCTCTCCTAAATAAAATAATAAAATCTCAATCAATACCCAATCAATCAAATTTACAGCATTACTAACTTACTTTAAAACCTTCAAAATCCAAATCAAACAACACTTTAAAACCTTCCCTTTAGTTAAATTAAAGGCTTATATATAGTTCTTTAAATTTTCTTCGTAAAAACCTTAATATACACTCTTATACATGAAATTACAGCAAGTTTAAAGTTTAATAAAAATCTTAAAATTATTTAAAAACCCCTAATAATCTCCCTTTTTAATGGGTGATTAAACCCTCTTTATAAAACATCAAAAGAAATACTTAGAAACTATTTCCAGCACTTAAAACTTCAATAAAAACATATATTTATGCTTAATTAACTTTAAACATAATTAATTTTATCAATCAAACTCAAGGATAATATTTTAAGTATAAAAAAACTTCGTTAAAATAAAAAACTGCTCGAAAATCATATTTAGAGGCTGAATTTGGCCACGAGAGGGTGGTGCTCACTACATAGGGTAGTGATTTTTTCTTAAAACGTTGTTTTTACATGGAAAACTGTACTTTTTTCTTATCAAAATTGGATGAGGTCAAAACTTGACCGGGATTAAAACGGGATTAATATTAACGAACGAAAATCTAAAAATTAAAACACGAATTTACATGTTCAAAATAATCTGAAATTAAGTTAAACTAATCATTAGTTATAATCACCAAAATTTCAAAACATCATTACTATAAAAGCCCTAAATCAATTGTTCATAAAAACCCTAAAATCATGATTTTCAATAATTAAAAACCCTAGGTTATAAAATTTGCAAAATCTGAAAATTATGACATATATAAAATGTGAAATTATCAAATTTAATTATCAAAATACAATTTGATACTAATTAAATTAATTTCAAACAATAAAATCAAAACCCATAAATCAATAATTATAATTACACAAATTAATAAAACAAAGGAGAAAGAAAATAAGACTAACCTTTTTGTGTGGGAAATTTTTGAGGATTCATGGGGTATTTATAGGAGATAATAGTAGGGTAAATAGGAAGATTGGGCCTCATAAAAATAATGGGTCGATTAAGTAAACAAATGGGTTAGGCTTGTGTGATTGGACACATTGTGGAATAAAGGTGCATAAAATAATTTGTTCAAATAATTTTCGACCCAGATTAATAATTTGAAACTTTTGAAATTAAATTATGAAAAATAACAAATAAATATTATAAATAAAATAAATTTTCATTTATAAAATATTTAAAAATACGGGGGATTACAGTTGTATCCTCCATGCTTTCTATCATCCATTAAAATGTATTCTTAACTCTCCATTAAAGCGGTGTTTGAGATTTGCTCTTTCTTCGTCCTCATCCTTTTCATGATTATCTTTCCCCGCTGTCGTAACAAATGACGTCATATATTTAACGAAACTTTATAGACGATTTCTTGGGACATATGTGACGAAGTTAGGGTTCCGGTGAGAAGCGATTGACGGCGAGTTGAAGCTAGCTATTGTTGATGATGATCTAGTCACGATTTGATCGAGCATGCCAGATAAAATATGTTGAAGAAGAATTGTTTTTCGATAGTAATTTGAAGAATTCATGTTTCAAATTAAATAAAAAATACAGTGAATTTCAAATGAGTAAATTGAAAATTTAAGTTTCCCAAACAAAATATTTGGATTTGAAAGTCTGAAATTGAAATTTCAGATTTGAAATTACAAATTTGAAATGAAATGCTAGTATCCAAACATTACCTTAAGGAATTTTAATTACCCATTAATTGAGATTAAAGTATGATGTTTAAATATAATTTCAGCTTATTTTAATTAAATTATGAGGGGTTTTATAGTAGTATATATTGCTAGAAATTTGTGTAAAGTGGATTTTAATACTCTTCTATAATTTTAAATTGTAGGAGACCTTGAAGTGAGTGGTTTTTATTAGTCGTGGTGATTCTAAGATCGTATACAAGGTACGTTCGGGTACTTAGCATAATTATGTTAATATAATAGCATGCTAAATGTGTTTTAAGTGATTACAAGTAGTATCATGCTAGGTTTAGATTGGAAATTGTGGTTTGGATGTTATCGGTGATTGGATTATGAAGCATGATTTATTTGTGATGGAATATTGAATGGAAATTAATAGTTTGGAATATCATTTATGAACCACATATTTATTTATGGCATGTTAGAGAGAATGTTTAATTAAACTAAATGTTTAATTTGGTTTGGAATATTGAAAAGGAATTTTATTATGGTTCATATAATTTTTATTTGAAGAAAGAGTTATATAAGCGTCTATGTACACGAGGAATAAATTGTATGTTGGTGCCTTAGTGCACTTAAGGTGTTTTTAATACCGAGGATATGATTTGTGGCGCTTTATGCGTTTAAGGTGTCATTGGCACCGAGGTAGAATTAAAAAAGGATCAAACATTAAATATTATGTGGTCACTAATTATTCAAGAATTAAATTGGTATATTTGATTGATTGAATAATTATTGTTGATTGAATTATTATGGTTTGAGAGTCATCACCAAGTCTAATAATATGTAAATAACGTAAAGTGAAAGAGATTACGCACCAAAACTCTTGGAACGTATATACCTTAAGTATGAACATATGGGGGGAGTTATGTGGCTTTATATTTGATCATAACTTCTACTGGAGTACAGGACGTTGTACATTCCCATGCGCAGGAATTCCGCCACTTACGAGTGGTTATTGATGCTGGCACGGTTAGCTCCCGTGTCAGTAACCTCAAATTTATTTGGGGGAGGTTGAGTGGGAAACCCATTCGATGTGTAGTCAACATTAAATAAATTATGTAGTGTCTAGAGAAGACTTTTATTGAATGTTGTATGCTTGAAAAACAGGTGCAACGAGGTAAGTAGTGTGTTGATAGGAAATCGTATGTTAGTGTGTTAATACGCTTATGTACTCAGCTTTGCTGATTGTGTGTTTTGTGTGTTTGTTGGCCTTGTCTTTATCTTGGCCCTATGATGACCCATTTTTAATGGAGAGTAGTGGAAACAAGTAGAGATAAGCTTTTTAGGTGATGAAGCATATTCATGCATGGGCATGAGTGAAGAGCGAATCATGCTAGCTAGTTTCTATAAGTATATGAATGTGTTATTACTTTACTTATTTATGACTTATTTATTATATGTATCTAACTAAAAGGGTTTTGAATTCGGTTTTGTTTTAATAAGGGCCTACAATGGTTCCAAGTTGTAGGTTGACTTTATTTTACTTCGTTTGACTTTGGTTTGACTTTACTTTCGTTGTTTGATTTTCAATGTTGAATTGAATTGGTTTGAAATGTTTTGAAATTAGTCTTCCATTGTGTGTCTTTGATAGTTGTCTTAATCGTTATTACGGTGGCGGTAATGTCTTAGATATTCATATTTAAAAGTTTTAAACAGGGCAAAATAGGTATTTTAAAAGGAAGGAATTTCTAGGGTGTTACAATATAAGATAAGATAAGTGAAAATAACGTAAATAGAACACACCCTACTTATGTACATACGTAGAAGAACCTAGAAGAATTTTACTATGTACAAGACCTTCCTTGATTATTCTAGAGTCATCCCCTACAACGTAGTCTTCAATGAACCTCGTTAGGGTTGGCAAAAACTGACCCGAACCCGACCCGAAAAAAGTGGGTTAGGGTTGAGTTTTTCGACCCGAAAACTTAAATGGGTCGACACGAACCCGAACCCGAAATTAAATGGGTTAGGTTAAGGTTGAAAATCTCAACCCGAAAACGAACCACTTAACCCGAAATAAATTTCAGGTCAAAATCAGGTCGGGTCAACCCGAACCCGACCTGATAAACTCGAACATTATACGGTATAATAAAAAATAAAAAAAATAAAAAAAATAAAAAAAAAAAACTGATGGTTTAAAATTCATCCCAAGCCCAAATATGTAACTAGTATCTAAAACCCTAAAATCCTTAATGCCTCCTCCTCACACAATCAGTCGTTTAGGCTCTCTCCTCCTCCTCCTTTCTCTCTTCAACTCTAAACTCTTGAAAGTTGAAACCTCCAATCCAAATAAATTATTCTCGGTTTTTCCCATCCTTAGATCTTCCTCTCCTTCATAATTTAAGTGTTTAAAGATTCACCACTTCAACCTTCAAGGTAATTGCTATTTTGAATTTTGCTTTTATACGATTTTTTGGTTGTTTAGATACGAATCTTGCATGTCTGTTGTTGTTGTTTTTCTTTGCTATTCAAAGCCTAATTTTGATGTTGTTTGTTGTTTTAGTTGTTATTCAAACCATAATTTAATTATATGGTATTGTATTTTTTATTTTAATTGATGTTTGTGTTTGTTATATTATTGTATTGTTGGGATTGAGTACTTTATTATTGATATTTGCTTAAATTGTTTTTATCAGATTTGGATCCTTACACGCCACAAACATAGCCTCTGCTTCAGCTTGCTTCAAGTCTCTGCTTCAACTTGCTTCAGCTTGCTTCAACATTGTACATTATTTGAGAACTATGTTGTATAAAGTTTGTAAAAATAAAAAATAAAAAACATTGATTGATTTTGAATTCTGATTTGTTATTTATTTAGTATACTATATTTTTGTATCTAATCTTTAATTAGACTTGCTAAATAACTTAATTTAAAAATCAGGTTATATTCGGGTTGAACCAAACCCGGCTACTATCAGGTCATTTTCAGGTCAAAATGACCTGATTTAAACCCAAATAAAAAAATCAGGTCAATTCAGGTTACTTTCGGGTTAACCCGAACCCGAAAATATCAGGTTCAGGTTGGGGTTCTCAACCCGAAAACTTAAATGGATCAAGTTCGGGTTGAGGAGTAGCTGACCCGAAATCAGCTGACCCGAACACGAACCCGACCCGACCTGATCCATTTTCCAGCCCTAAACCTCGTAGATAAGTCCCAAACCTTCTAGAAGCTTCCAGCATTTTCCACACTTTTTTCCATCAAAAGTCGTAATTCGACATCTGAAAAAGCGACACTTTCATGGTCTTCATTGGCCAAAATATGATGGACCCCTCAAATTTGGACTTTGTTTGAGCCTCCAAATGGCCTATTATTGCATTACTATCAAGTAGGTGTTCACTAGTATTTCAAGGCATATACAAAATAAAGCTCTATAGGGAGAAGTGTGCTACTGGCAACCAAGGGCATTAGGGCAAGGCCACGATTATGCCTTGTTTTCTAGTGACCCTATTGAGGCAAATATTGTTCTTTGCCAACAAGTTAAATATTATACTAGTTCTAGAGTATTATATTAGGGGGGTGCCCCTCGAATTATTGATTTCAAATATTGATAACCTTGTTAACATAACAACACAAACAATAATAAGGAAGATTTCCCAAACAAAGTAAAACAAGTTAGATTGCTTAAAGAAACGAGTAGATAAACATATGACAAAATATACAAATGCATTTCATTACTTAAAGGATAGAGTCAGGTCTACAACTGTATAAGTTGAAGGAAGGAAAGGTTACCTCCATGATCATACAATTAGAAAAGTCGAACGATAATCAATACATGTTAAGGGATAAACTAAATTATCGTTTGGCTACTAAGCCAAGGGAAACTACGAACGCTAAGAAGAAAGATTAAAAGAAATGAAATGCTTGATATTGATTGATAAACTGATGTCCTTCTTTCGATCCTCACGCTTCTATTTATATGCAAATTGGAGCGGTTATGACTAACTCCCATAATGTCGTGTAGTTATGTTTCTTGGCACCAACTCTTTTCAAAAATTAAAATACTCATTTGCCTTCAAACCGGCTTTTGTTCATTTGACCTTGATAAGATGTTTGCCTGATTCTTCTTATTTCCTTGTCGGTTCAGCCCGAAGGCCTTTTGCTGACTCTAAGACCCAATTACTTGGTCAAAGTCAAAGAAGTAAAAAAAAAAAAGTCAAATATCTTATTTTTTGGTGTAACAGATCCAAATGACGCCTACCCTTGGTGTGGGAGATGATACGTGATATACTGACATATAGCTGAGATGATGTTTTCATTCATTGGAGCTAATGTTTTTTGGTTTTTTTTTGGAAATTTTATCTAGAACTACCCTAAAGATAGGGTCATTTGTGAACAACTACCCAATTTTTTTTATTTGTTTAGAACTACCCACAAGTTACAAAACGTTTGGGTAACACTACCCATTAACGTTTTCCGTCCAATTAAGACGTTATTGGGCCCACTTTTTCACTTTTCCCACTTAATTAACTCCCCTAATTACCTTCTTTCTTCTTCCTAATTAACTTCGTTCCTCTCCATTCTCACTCAATAATCCAAAAGATTATACTCAATCAATTGAACACAAATTCTCAATTATTCAAGTAATGTTTCACACTTTCCTTTTAATTCATTGTTTATTGTATTTGTATACAAGTTTTAATTGAACGCAATTAACATAATTAGGGTGTAAATTAGGGATTCGGATTAGGGTTTATGGGTTCAAATAAATTTGGGGGTTTTGATTTCTAGGATTTAGGGGTTTAATTGAGTTCTAGGTTTCACTTATTTTGACTTTGAGAATGAATTCAATTGCACTTTAATTACTAATTGGTCATTGCAGTTGGTAAGATGTCTAATTGGCCATTGTAATTGATAGGATGCCTAAATTTGGGGGTTTAAATTTCTAGGGTTTAGGGGAAGTTAATTAGGGAAGAGGGAGAAGGTAATTAGGGGAGGTTAATTAGGGAAGAGGGAGAAGGTAATTAGGGGAGGTTAATTAGGGAAGAGGGAGAAGGTAATTAGGGGAAGTTAATGAAAGAAGAGAGAGAAGGTAATTAGGGGAGTTAATAAGTGGGAAAAGTGAAAAAGTGGACCCCATTAACGTTTTTTTGGACGAAAAACGTTAATGGGTAGTGTTATCCAAACTTTTCTTAACTTCTGGGTAGTTCTTAACAAATAAAAAAAAAAAGGGTAGTTGTTCACAAATGACCCTATCTTTGGGGTAGTTATAGACAAAATTTCCTTTTTTTTTTAGTTTGTTTGTTTTACACTTTATGTTCTTTGGTTTTATGTTTGATGGTCATTAGATGTATAAGTGTGTGCGTACGTTTTCACAATCCAATTATAAGTCTCAACTTATAAATATTGTAGCCATTGTTTAAATGTTGCTCTCAAATTACAAACTGTAGATTAAAAACCGTTGTATTTATCTTTTCTTCAATCTTGGATCTTCCTTTTGCCCAGTACATCTACTCCTGCATACAACAAGTCCAAATATGGAGAGAATTTGGATCGATCACTCGATCTTGCTCGATGATTAAGCAACTTGATGGTTGTTCTTCGGTACATAACCTTAATTAGCTAATGTGCTTTTTTACACATGATCCCAAGGAGACTCTTCATGCTAAATTAAAAATACATTCGTTGTGTTCAAGGTACCATTGTTTTATGGGTTACTTGTTTTCTTTTCATACATGGTTGATCACTTAAAGTGATGTTGATTGGGGTGAGTTTTCTTACATGCACCATCCAACTATAGGTTATTGTTATTTCATTGATTATATTAGCCTAACTTTTGTATAATTAAGGATATCTAGCCCCAAGTTACTTCATCTATATTAATTAAATTGCTCGCATTTGTTCCTACAACCATAGTCCACCTATTTTATTTGCTAATTAGCGCTTTGGGTGGAATTCTGGAGAATTATTTCACATAACATAGATATCTAGATAGACTTTAACAGCACACTGATTGATCCTCGTTAGTCTTCATTTATACGTCCATTGAGCTCCTGCAGCAGCTCACGCAAATCTTCTTCTTGCTTTGAGCTTCACCCAACTAATTAGTACTTTTCTTCGCGCTTTTGAGTTTCTCACATGTCTCTAACGAATGGCTTTCCAATCTGCATTTCCAATGTGACGACATATTTAAGTGTCACAGAATAATGAAATATTAAGGGTTAAACCAATTAATATCCCCTCTCCTTGCATAAACAGCACACAGTTAAAAGAAAGCTTGCAATACAAAGGCAAAAGGACATTAATGGCCTAACATTCGGGAAGACAGGTACTTCAGCTACTCATTGTGCAGAAAATCTATAAATAAGTGTTTTCCGGCATATTTCCCACAGCCTTTTGTAGGCGTTAGTGTTACTTGTAAATCATTCAGTAGCAATGGCTTACGAACTTTGTCTAGTAGCGAAATCCTCAATTGGCAAAATGCAAGTATTACACTGTAACTATACAATCACGACGAAATTGTGACCAAATCACTGTAACTATACAATCACAACGATATTGTGACCATATCACTTCCATCACATCATGACGCACCCCAATCACTCCAAAATTCAAGCAGAAATAGAGCCATGAGTTGATTCAAAGGCAATGCAACCGCTAAAGACGGACATTTATCATCTAACCTCCTGAATCATACTTCCAAATCCAACTGATAAATAAAACATAGAATGCTAAACATAAGCTCACAGTCAACCAGAAAAAGCCCCAACACTGTATCAAGAAAAATTCATTTTGTGGGCCCAAACCCAGAACTTTACACAGGTGAGAGGCAACATAAAATATTGAAGATCAACATCTAGCATGTTTAAGTTGCCCATCAAGCAAATACAAAAGAGAATCAACAAGTAACAAAATTTGAACCAACATTTTTTGACTTTTCAATTTTCAGCAGTTGCGCCATTTGCATCCATGGGCTCTGCATCAGCTGACTCTTCGGCACCAGATTTCTCACCCTTCTTGGCTGAAATAATAACAAAATCAGAGTATTTTAGATTTCCAGATAAAAAAATTGCCTGACATAAGCAGAAAATTTTCAGCTATATATTCCCATGGCATCAGCCTGTTTCCTTCCCACGTCACATTCCTTACCTTTCTTCTTTTTACCACCACCTTTCTTCTTTGTCTTTGTTCCCAATGCTAACCAAGCTTTGATTTCAGGGTCGTCAGTTGATTTAGTTGGCTGCAATTCTTGCAAAGGATATGATGTTACACGGTCTGATCCATTTGGCATGAGAAGAACAGTGAATTTTATGTGAGCAACATAATCGCCTGCATAGTCCAACACATATAACTAGTCAGTACAAGACATAACATAAGAAAAAACCATAAATACAAGCAACAACGCACCCAGTGATAAGAGGCATCAGATAGCTGCATTCAAAACCCAGAAGAGTAAACTTACCAGGCTTCTCATACAGAACAGGGTAGGGTTGCAAGAGGTCGTGATTGACACATTCTACTAGTCCAAGGCGAGCCCTCTTCTCTTCCAATGCCCTATTAGATATAACCAACTATACATCAGAGTGATTAGACCAATCATTGGCACAGGCAGATATCAAAATGAGAATCAGTACAGACCTTGCTGTGAATGGCATTATTGGGAATTTCTGATTGATTTCACTTAAGATAAATCTTGATGCTTTCATTTTCAAATGATAGTTCTTGTCCACAGCTCTTTTGTATATAGTTGTTTGCTTCTCATCCAACATTCTAGGCTACAATCACGAACATCAACCATTAGAATAAAAGAACCATCCAAAGTAGTTTTCAAGATCCAAACTCAGTCTACCAGAACAGAATTTTCAAATCATTACCTTTCCTTCACCCGTACTAGCAGCTATA